GCAAGAATTCGGCTTGTCATGGCGCAGCAATATCGTTGATTCGCGGTGTTGAAGTCCCCACAAAAAAAGTTTGGGTACGACCTCGGACCGTCAGGGCGCAGTAGCCACGTCGATCCGCGGCGTCGGAGTCCCGGGAAGGCGATGCACGACCGATGATCATCAGAGCGACGTTTCCGAATGGGCCACTTCCCGCAGTGGGCATCAAGTACTCTGGGGACCTGTGCAGCCGGGGAGGGTGTATCACAACATTGTTAATGCGCCTTGGGTTTCCATCCCTCCGCCTCCTCCTCCTCCTCCTCCTCCTCCTCCTCCTCCTCCTCCTCCTCCTCCTCCTCCTCCTCCTCCTCCTCCTCCTCCTCCTCTCCTCCTCCTCCTCCTCCTCCTCCTCCTCCTCCTCCTCCTCCTCCTCCTCCTCCTCCTCTCCTCCTCCTCCTCCTCCTCCTCCTCCTCCTCCTCCTCCTCCTCCACCTCCTCCTCCTCCTCCTCTCCTCCTCCTCCTCCTCCTCCTCCTCCTCCTCCCTCCTCCTCCTCCTCCTCTTCCCCTTGTGAACATCGCCGCCCTGTCGCCCCCCCCGCAAACTTGTCGATAGGGCGGACTGGGCGTTTCGCCGGAGACTTCCCCGCTACTTTCCCACAAAAGTGTTGGCACTTCGGGGCTCTGAGTTCTGCTCTGAGGCACTAGGCTGTGTCTTCGGTCTGGCGGCTGTGTGGCCGCCGTCGCAGCCCCGTCGCCGCGTCGCCGCCGCCCGCCGGCTGGGTTGTGTTTTCGGTCCGGCGGCAATGGGGCCGCCGTCGCCTCCCCGTCGCCGCCTCGTCGCCGCCCGTCGTGTGGGCCTGAGTGCCGTTCTGGCGGCCGTGGCCGCCGTCGCCGCCCTGTCGCCGCCCCGTCGCCGCCCCGTCGCCGCCCCGTCGCCGCCCAGCCCGTCGCCGCCTAGATTCTCCTTCCTAATAAGAAAACAGACTCTACCGCCACCACCCCGCGGATTATCGACACCCCTTCTCCGTAACGCAATTTACATATGAGCCTGCCTCATCGTCCATCCTAGATGTGGATCCGTACCATCCCAGACAAGCCGGTATCGACCACCCCCCGATTCCGCTGCACAAAATACTATCCGCGCGCACTCGTTTATCAGAAATCAGGAGTTTCAAGAAATCGGTTCGAAAAAAACGGGACGAAATGCACACGCGCGCGCGTCGTCGCACGCGCATGCTGGAATCCTTCAAAAACCATCAGTTCCGTGAGGGTTCCAAAATCGACGGTCCAAAAATCATATACAAACATTGTTTCGCAACGCTGGTTTTCACAAAAGCCGTGCGCGCGCGTTTTTGCGAATTCTTTACTCGAGACAACCATAGGTTATCAAAAAAACAAACAAACAAACAAACAAACAAACAAACAAACGTTACAACACGATCTTCGCGCGCGTGCATGTCGAAATCGTTCGAACGTCCTTGCGCGCGTGCCGTTGCGAAAACTTTTTTCGCAAAAAATGAGACGATTTACACGCGCGCGCGTCGGTGCGCGCGCATGCCGAAATCCTTCAAAAACGTATGGCTTCGTAACGGCTTCAAAACCGAATATCAAAAACACAAACAACAACAAAAAAAATATGGTGCCGCAACATCAGTCTTCAACAACCAAAAAATGCAACGCACAAACAAAAATTGAAACGTGCGCGCGCGGCTGCGCATTCCAAAACATGAGTGTTCAACCTGTTCACGAAATTATGCCACACGGGCCTCTGGCGCCGCAAGCCGACATCATTCGCACGTCCTTGCAAGCGTGCTGGGGGGGCACGATCCGTGTCAAGTAAAACCATGCGGGTCACTCTTGCGCGTCGGCCGCGCGCGACGCGCGAACGTCGAACTGTTTCCAAAACCTTCATCACCGACGCGAAAGCGCCTTCATCGTCGTCGGCGTGATCAACATCGGCGCCCGCAGTGGCCGCGCCATCGTCGGTGCCAACAACGTCACCAGTATCGCTACTAGCATCATTTCGGCGTTGCCATGATACCGCGCCCGCACAATCGCCGACTCGCAATGAAGTGCCCGCTGGGATGTGCCCAGCGGTCGGCGCCACCGCGGCCGCGTCCGCGGCGCCAAACTAGCTGGCCGCTGCGCGCGCGTGCTAAGGTTGGCGCGGCCGCAGAAATGCACCAGCCGACGCCAAGCACGCATCGCAATCGCCACCGCATGATTTTCGCAAACCGCAACGTAGAATCTCCTTTCTAAAACGAGAATAGACTCTATCCCCCGGGGATTATCGACACCCCCTTCCTTCTTGCAATTTACACATGATGCCGCCCCATCGTCCATCGTGCATCTGAAACCGTACCATCCCAGCCAGGCCAGTATCGACACCCCCCCAGACACCCTCTGCAAAAAATACTATGCACGCGCTCTCGTTCATCAGAAAGCATACGGGAAAAAACCGGAACGATGTGCAAAACCGGGACGATGTGCACACGCGCGCGCGTCGTCGCGCGCGCATGCTGGAATCCTTCAAAAACCTGCGGTGTCGAAGGGTTTCAAAATCACGCGTCCAAGCATCATTCCAAAAACAAATGATTTCGCAACACGGATGTTCAAAAAATGCGTGCGCACGCGTTCTTGCGAATTCTGTCTACAACCATCGGTTCTTCGAAAATTTGCAAAACCGACTACCCGCGCGCATGTCGAAATCGTTCGATGGCCATTGAGCGCGCGCCGTCGCGAGAACCCTTTTGCAAAAAATGAGACGAAGTGCACGCGCGCGCGTCGTCACGCGCGCATGCCGAAATCCTTCAAAAGCCGGTGGTTTCGAAACGAATTCAAGACCGAATGTCCAAAACACACCCACACAAACACACATGGCGTCGCAACATCAATTTTCAAAGTAACGTGCGCTCGCGCTCTCGCGCATTCTTAATAACACCATGAGTTTTCAACGTGTTCACTAAATTCTGCCACGCGGGCCTCTGGCGCCGCATGCCGACATCATTCGCACGCCCTTGCGCGCGTCGGCCGCGCGCGCATGTCGAACTCTTTCCAGAACCTTCGTCACCGACGCGAAGACGCCGTGTCGTCGGCGTGAATCGGCCCCCGCACTGGCCGCGCCATCGTCGGTGTCAACGTCGTCACCAATATCGCTACTATCATCATCGTGTCTACCGTTGTCGAAGTTGCCATGATACCGCGCCCGCCCAATCGCCGACTCGCAGTGAAGTGCCCGTTGGGATGTGCCCAGCGGTCAGCGCCTCCGCGGCCGCGTCGGTGGCGCCAAACTAGCTGGCCGCTGCGCGCGCGTGCTAAGGTTGGCGCGGCCGCAGACATGCACCAGCCGACGCCAAGCATGAATCGCAATCGCCACCGCATGGGTTTCGCAAACCACGTTGTGGGTGGGCGGGTGGGAGGTTTGCAAGAGCACGGGATGTGTCAACTCGTTTGTTAAAAGCAGTTGCACCACATAGACTGCACCACACACATAGCACAGCATAGAGTGCACCACATAAATTGCACCGGATATATTGCAACATTGATATTGCACCACATGACTTGCACCGCATGTATTGCACAACATTTGGTGCAGCACATACTTTGCACCACATATGTTGCACCACATATTGCACAACATCGATTGCACAAAATATAATGCAGCAAAGATATTGCACTGCACCACAGATATTGCACTGCACAGATTGATTGAATCACTGCACACCACAAATTGCACACAACACATTGCAATAGATATTTAGAATATTGCACAACCTAAAGTGCATCACAACTAATTCCCCAAGTTATTGCAAAACAGAGATAGTACCACACAGATTGCAAATGGCATGCTGCAAAGCATGTATTGCACTAAATAGATTGCACGACATACTGCACAACATAGATCGCACATAAACTCCACAGCATCATGCAAGACATTGATTGCACAACATAGTTTACACAACCGATTGCACTCCATATAATGCCCATTGCCCATACCATATTGCCCAACGTAGACTGAACCACGCATACTGCACCGCATAGAGTGCACAACATGTATTACACCAACAGGTTCCACAACATAGATTACACTACCTGTATCGCACAAACCAGATTACAAAACATAGATTGCACCATACGTGCCGCTCTACACATGTTGCACAACACAAATTGTACCACAAAGGCTGCACCAGATGTGTTGCATCACATATGCTGCACAACACGGATTGCACGGCACACATTCCACAATATGGATTGAACACAACACGTTACATAACACATATTGCAAAACAGATGTTGCAGACACCATATTGCACAACATAGGTTGCACCACATATATTGCACCATATAGATTGCGCCAAGTCGGTTGCACAAAATAGACTGTGAGAAACACAAAACTCGGGGTCCGCGATTACTAGCATATGATCCCGAAGCGTGGTGCTCAAAATGTGGCTCTCGTCATAGCGCCGCGCACACTCGTTTTAAAAGTTCAGAGCAGTCTAACGGATAGAGGGCGGGTCGTTGTCAAAATGTGGCTTTTGCCCAAGCCCCACGCACATTCGGCTTGAAAGCTTGAACTGGCTTCAAGGATGGGAGGCGGTTCCTTCTGAAAATGCGGCTCTCCCCGCAGCGCCGCGCACATTCGTCTTCAAAGGTTGCCACAGTTCCAGGGATTCGTATGATCGATGTCCCAAGAATCCTGCCGTGGCACGATTCAGGATGTTCAAAACGTGAAAGTCACGCTGATTCGCGGGGAACTGAGTTCTGGCACGACTTTGGATTGTCAGGGCGCAAGAGTTACGTTGATCTGCGGCGTTGGAGTCCAAGAATCGCTTTGCTGGCGCGAATGAGGATTCTCACACGGTTGTCTTCCAATGGGCCACTTCCCACAAGGAAACGGATATGATTTTAGAGACCCGTGGAGAGGGAACTCGATGGAGGCGGGCTTATTGCAACATCGTTGATGCGCCTTGGGTTTACACTGGTCCTCCTCCTCCTCCACCTAGGAAGGCGTGGGCGGCGGGCAGACGCAGACGAGCCCGCCGGTGCAGTCCGCGTGGCCCGAGAAGAACTTCGTCGCCGAGTGCCTCGGAACGTCGACGCCGTCGCCGCCGCCGCCCTCCGTGGCAGATCTCCGACGATCTTCTCTGTTCAATCCCGCTGGGCGGGGCCTAAGACTGGCGGCGGGCAAGTGGAGCCCGCCCAGTGAGGTCCAAGTAGAAGGGGTCGAAAGATCGCGCCGTGTCTTGTGGATGCCCTGACAATGGACACCCCAACAATCCTGTCATGGAATTAAACATACGTTGCTTTCATGTGAAAACATGTTGAAAACATGTTGCTTACATGTCTAAGACATGTTTAAAACATGCTTTAGACATCTGGAAACAATTTGGCAACATGCTTCCTCTCCATTGGTCACCCACAAGCCATGTCGCCGATGCATCGACGAGGCACCGGCGTGGAGAAGATCAGGCTCCACACAGAGCCGCATCAGCGCTGCGGCGCGATCCACCGATCCCACGTGGGCGGCCTATAACAAAGAGAGGCCGGGGCGAGGGGGGTGGTCTTTTTTAAAAACCGGCTAGACGTAAGAGTGACCCTGGGTAAGAGTGACCTTTGGTGCGCAGCTTTTGGGGGCGCGAGGGAGCCAAACCCAAGGGCGCGGGCCGCTTATATCGCATGGCGCTCGGCGATCGGGGGGAACCCGACGAGCCCGCACCAAAGGTCACTCCGGCGAAGGGTCACTCTTACGTGTATTCGAAAACAGGCAAAGGGGCTTCTTCTCGTGGATGCCATGACAATGGGCGCTCTAACAGTCCTAGCATTGGATTTAACATGTGCTTACAACGCTTGAAACTGTACAACAAATGTTCAAAACCTTTTATTCCATGTTTGAGACATGCTTCAAACATGTGTTCAGCATCTGGAAAGCATTTGGCAACATACTTCCTCTCCATTGATCGTCGTCCACGAGCTTCCTCGAAGAGACGCCCCCCTCCGCCTCCGGGGAGGGGTCTGGACTCTGTGAGCCGCGCACCGCAGAGAAGATCGTCGGATGACTTGGGCTGCTGTGGCTGCCGCCGTCGTCATCCTCAGCCCACGTCGCCCGTCGCCCTCAGCTCGGGGAGCCGGGCGCGCCTCGTTTCATGTCGTTCCCGTCGCCGTCTCATCATTCGTCGTCGTTGTCCCTCGCTTCCTGGTCCTCCTCCTCCTCCTGCTCATCCTCGTCCTCCTCCTCCTCCTCCTCCTCCTCCTCCTCCTCCTCCTCCTCCTCCTCCTCCTCCTCCTCCTCCTCCTCCCCAATCCCTCCCTCCGAATTCGAGTCTCCCGAGACGGGGCCTCGGCGCAGCTGGCGGCCGTCGTCCCAGGGAGGGGTGGGGGACGACTACGACGAGGCGATGCCCGCGCAGGGGTCGGGAGGCTAGCTTTTCGAGCAGGCTGTGGCCCGGAGGGGAGATGGGGGGAGGGGAAGAAGGCAAGCTGGGTGCGCTCACGTCGAAACTGACGTCCTAACCCTCCCTCCCATCCCTTAGCATGGCGTAGCTCTCCTCTCTATTCGCACAGTCGGACGTCGTAGCAGAGCATAGCATTACATGGCATGAAATGGTGTTGACTATGAATGCGTATCCTGATATAGCACGGCGTGGCGTCGCCACAAAGTGGGGGGGGCCTTCTGCGGTCCAAAACATCCACCGACCCCTTGTGGGTCTCTGGGCGTGTGAGATTCTTCCCCCCCCATAAGCCCCCACCTGGGACCCCAAACCAGAAATTTGACCCTCCCCTTTGGCCGCGCACGACCCCCGGCCGAACTCACCACAGGGGGTCTGGCCCTCCCGCTTTGGAGCTCCAAGACAGGCCCTGGGGCGTTCCATCAGGTCCCAACACGGGCCCACAGGGCCCATCGTCCCCAAAGATGGCCCCCAAAAATACTCCAAACTGCCCCCAAAAATACACCCCGACAAGGGGACTTTTTCGGCGGTGGACAAACCTCCCTTCAGTAAACCTCCCCTTAATGAAGACGGCCTGGGACCGAAACCGACGGACCTGGACCCGCAAAAATGACGTCCGCGACGCCCTCTCGCGAACCGAGAACGGCCAATTCCTTAATCGACGCGTCAGGGTAGGAGGCCTATCCACCTCCGATAAACGGAGCCGGGAAAAGAACCCAAAAAAATGCCTCCAAAGACGGGCTCCCCAAAATTGCCCCAAAAACTGCCCCAGAATCCCCTGGCAGGGGGATTTTTTGTGGACGGAGCCGGAAAGATACCCCCCAAAGATGCCCCAAAAGGACCAGGCCGGAAAGAAGGATCACAAGATCGCCCTCCGACGACTTTTTGTACTGTTCTTAAGTCGGGCCTGTCCCCCTACAGGGGGATTTTCGACGAAAAATTAAAAATACCCCGAAAATGCCCCAAAAAGGTCAAACGATACTCACAAAATTGTCCCCGAACTATTTTGGGACTATTGTGGGACTATCTTGAGGGTATCTTTTTATTTCTCGTCACAAATCCCCCTGTAGGGGGACAGGCCCGACTTAAGACTATTCTCGAAGACTTCCCCTGTAGGGGCGGCAGGCCCGACTCGACGCAGGGCCTCCGCGGCGGGGCCGGGCTCGGGGGGCCCCTGGCCCACGGCATCCGCGGTCGGCTCCCCTGTGCGCGTCCTTCCCCTCCTCCTCCTCCTCCTCCTCCTCCTCCTCCCTCCTCCTCCTCCTCCTCCTCCTCCTCCCTCCTCCTCCTCCTCCTCCTCCTCCTCCTCCTCCCTCCTCCTCCTCCTCCTCCTCCTCCTCCTCCTCCTCCTCCCCCTCTCCCTCCTCCTCCTCCTCCTCCTCCTCCTGCCGCATCCGGGTGGACGACTGACTCCCTACCAGACCACCCCAACCTAACCCGAAGGCCCGAATTTCGTATTGGGGGGGGTGCGGGTTCCAGACCTGTCTCGCCCTGCAAGGGCATAGATCCCCTGCGTCGCCCAGGAATGAGATTATGCACGCCATCGCCAAGCAGTTGCGCCGGCAAGGTTTTGTTTTACAGCACGGCCGCCACACTTCCCTGGTAGGAGTCGACCTCGGAACCGGCAGGGAAGCCAGGTCAACACTAGCGAAATGCATTGTCAAGGCACGTGCAATGCACCAACGTAACAATAGATTCGCACGCGAATCTAGAACATGTCTTCGCACTGGGCTCATCGACAGGGTTGGGGTGCAGGCGGCAGGTGCGCATGGGCGTCAACTGTATGTGGTTTTTGTTGACTCTCGGATCTCTTCTCACAGGCGTCTAACTCATGCGCTTTCGTCGGCTTCCAGGGTGCGTTGTATTACGACAGCGTTGGACCTTAGAGCGGACAAGCACGATCCAGGGTACAAGATGCAGAGAAGATGTACCGAGCTGTGGCTGCGCACATGGTTTCAAGAACCGAGGTTTTTGGCCAGGTGTAGGTGCACGATATCGCGATCCGCAGCCTCGAAAGACTTCACGAGCTGTACGAGGCCCAATGTCAGTAGTAGTGGCGTACCTGTTCCTCCAAGCGAATGGCACACACCAGCTAATGAGGAAGGGCCTGGGGAAGTCTTGACAGTTTCCGGTGAGGCGGTACTACGCTCCAAGGATGTTAGCGGGTTGATTTCTGAGTTCGAGGGCACGGTTCGACGTAGGCTCTGGGAGTCTGCTTCCAAGCAATTCTGCGGGGTCCGGGAGGGACTCCAGAACGGGGCCGACAACACTTCTCTGAGGGAAGATCTTCGATCTCTAGGTCAGGTTCCACAAGGCGCACGACTTGGTGAGCCTTTATTCGCTACCGCGGTAGGAGGCACGTGGCCACGTTCACGCGTCAAGGAAGAAGCTAGAGCCATCGAGGATGTCGAATGCCAGAAGCTAGAGCCATTGAGGACACACCTTTGCATGGAGGGTGGCTATGTGCATGCAACACTGGCCACAAGATCTGTGTCGACTCCAACTGCCTGGTCCAACGCGCCATCTCGATCCAGGAGTCGGAGGCATGTTGATGGCTACGAGGCGACATGCCTGAACACAGGACACGCGTGGAGCCAGCCAGTTCGGACGAGAAAAGGAAGTTTTACCATGACAGTTTCAACGAACTTCCCAAGCATCATGCAGGGATAGGCAGAAGTACCCCGAGGCCCCAATGGTTGTTTATGGGAACGCCAACGGAGGAGAGGATAACAGGGATCTGCGTTTTCGACCGGTAGGTGCTGCAATTGTTACGCTTGCTGATCTGGATACTCTTGCGGCTTCTGGGGCTGTTTACGGAGGAAGACCTGGGCTTGAACAGACTGTTGCTCGCGGGGAGCTGTGGGGGCTCCTGTTGGCCATCAGGTTCACCAACGGGGCCCTCGTCTACGTCTCCGATAATGATACTGTGGTCGACGGTTGTTGTCGGAAACGCTTCGAGGACCCCACGGGTAGCAATGCAAGCGCTTGGAAGCTCATCGGCTAAACTCTGGAGGGTCGTGATGTTTCACAGTTTACTGTGTTGCAGGTGCCGTCCCATCTCGATCCATAGCAGATTGCATGTTCTTCCTTGCCTTTGTTGACTTTTGTCGGCCATCAGGTTGCTGACGATATTGCTGGTTATGCGGCTAAACTCGTTCGAGTCGACGAAGCCACTCGCGCGAGGCTCGCCCAGGTGGAAAAGGTTGCAGGGCAGGTCAGGAGGCGGCTGCTGCGGGCCGCCCTCGAGGCGATGGAGGCAGCCCCACCACGCCAAGCCAGGAGTTCCCAGCAGGCCCGCCCCCTCGACTCCTCCCTCCCCTGCTGCTGTCTCGATCTATGGCGCCGAGCACTCCTTGGCGAGGACGGAAGGTCTTGCACCGCCTGCTGTGGGTCTGCGTAGACAGCCACGGCGACCGCTTAGCGCAGGATTCTTCCCAGGAGGGGGGACTGGGTCCATCCAACTCATCAAATGATCCTGTAAGGCAGCTTGAAGGTTTGGCTGTGTGGATGTGTGGATACCACGGGAGCTCTACATTGAGGGCTCCCTTCGCGGGGCCTTGTAAGGCCCCCCGCGGTCACCCTCAAAGTCGATACATACAGCGTCTCGAAGACGGGCAATGGCCCAAGGATTTGCCGACCAACCGAGGGAAGCCCTTGTAATTTGGCATGGCGTCGTCATAGGTCCATTCCATCCCAGTCCATTCCTACCTCCTTCCGCCCCTCCCCCTCACAATCCTCCTCCCCCATCCGCCTCCTCCCCCTCCCCTCCTCCTCCTCCTCCCTCCTCCTCCTCCCTCCCTCCTCCTCCCTCCCGTTCCTCCCTCCCTCCCTCCTTCCCTCCCTCCCCCTCCCGGCGAACCCCGGACTCCCGCGCGCGGGGCGCGAAGGCCGCACCGCCGCACAGCGGCCACGCCCGAACCGGGCGCTGGGCGCCGGGCACGACGACGTCCACGCCGAGCGTGAGCGGCTTGCAGATGACCTGGCGCCCCAAAGGGGCGCTCTCCACGGGGCACTCCCAACGCGCCTCCTCCGACGGCGTCCATCCTCCGCCTCCCTCCCCTCCCTTCTCGTCCTCCACCTCCTGCTCTCCCCCTCCCCGGCGTCGTCGGCCTCGTCTGCCGCGTCCTCCTCCTCCTCATCCTCCTCCTCCTGCGCCTGCTCCTCCTCCTCCTCCTCCTCTTGCTCTCTCCTCCTCACGCCCGCCGTCCCCCTCTTCTGCTTCCTCTCCCTATCCCTTCTATACAAAGTGTGTGTATATATAGAAAGGGAGAGAGAGAGAGAGAGATTTCTGCCAACATACATATGTACATGTACAAATGGCAATAGATGTCTCTGTCTGTGGCTCTCCGTCTCTCTGAATATGTTCCCCATATATGCTTCGATATGTGACACATGTATATATATGTGTGTATATACATACATACATACATACATACATACATACATACATACATACATACATACATACATACATACATACATACATACATACATACATACAGACATACATACATACATACATACACACCTACACAGACAGACATACATACCATCCCATCCAACCCACGCCTTCCTCCGCATCGTGTCCCGCATCCTCCTACCCCATGGCTCCCCACCCTCTCTTTCTCCTGCTCGTCGCCCTGCTCCCTCCTCCTCCTCAGTCTCCTCTTCCCGCCCCTCCTGCTCCTGCTCGCTGCCACCCCATCGCAAGAGACTTGAGGGGCCTCCCTGGCGAGGAGGGCAAAAAGCGGGCTCCTCGTGTACGCCCCCTTCACGTGCACCGCCTCCACCACCACCACACACCACACATTCATGTTCCATACTTCCTGCTCCGCCTGATCCTCATCCTTGAGATATTATGCCCCTCCCCCTCGGCCTTCTCCACCTCCCCTCCCCCTCCTCCTCCTCCTCCTCCTCCTCCCTCCTCCTCCTCATCCTCCTCATCCTCCTCCTCCTCATCCTCCTCCTCACAATGCCTTCCTCCTCCTCCTCCTCCTCCTCCTCCTCCTCCTCCTCCTCCTCCTCCTCCTCCTCCTCCTCATGCTCCCAGTGTCCATCCCTTCCCCTGCCCCGCCGGGGGCATCATCGTGCTGTCCACGCTGACCAGTATCCCGTGTTTGTGCGCGAGGGCGCAGATGGCACCTGCCACGGCCAGGGGCCGGGGGCCAGTGGCGAACGGCTCAAGGCGGCGCGGCCGACCAGTCAGTGCCGACAACCAGGTACCTCATCCTCCTCCTTCTCGACCTCCTCATCCACCTCCTTGTCCTCCTTCTCTGCCCTTCCCCCCCCTCCTGTTCCTCCTCATCTTTCCCTCTTCCTGCGCCTCCTCATCCTCCTCTTCCTCCTCCTCCTCCTCCTCCTCCTCCTCCTCCTCCTCATCCTCCCCCTCCTCCTCCTCCCGTCCTCCTCAGCATCCTTCCTCCCCTGCTTCGACGACTGAGTTCTTCAACTCTGATGCTGAGTTCGCAATATGTACGGTGCCCTGCTGAAGAGACAGTGCAAGGGAAGCGGGGAAGGGCGAAGGGACGGGAAAAAGGCGAGGGAGGAGGGAGGGGCACAGAGAGGGAGAGGACCACGGCACGCTGGGGCGCGCCAGAGTGCTCCAGCAGGCCCCCCCTCTCGACATGGAGTCCAGCATGCCACGCCCCTCCCTTCCAGAGGCCACAGGTCCCTCGCACCAAGAGAGCAGGTCCCCGCACTCCCGAGGCCACGACCCCTCGAAACGAGAAAGGATCCGCGCTCACGATGTCACGATCCCCAATTCGAGCAAAGTGGATCCGCGGTCCCGAGACCACAATCCCTCGAAAAAACACGGATCCGCGATCCCGGGCTTTCAAGACGGCCGAGACACGCCGCCAAGATGGCCCAAGATGGCGCCAAGACGGCCGAAGGCGGACCTAAGGCTGCCCAAGATTGCCTCAGGACGACCCAGGAGGCCCCGACGATGGCCCGAGAGGGCCACAACAGGGGCCAAAGGTGCCAAGATCATGAGCGGTCCTGCAGCGTTTCAAAGACCTGGTCGCCTTTTCGGAGCTCCTGCGGCTCAAGACGGCTCTGGAGGCCTCCAAGACGGCTCCAGGACGGCTGGAGAAAGCTCCGACACGGCCCAAGCAAGGGCCCATCGGGCGACCCCGGGGCGGAAACCTTCGAGAGGGCAGAGGGCCCCTCGAGGGACCAGGGACGGAACCAAGGACGGCTGACGGAGGCCACAGGAAGACGGCCAAGAAAGCCCCAGCACGGTCCAAGAACGGCCCAAGAGCGCAGCACCCTGAGACCCTCCTCCTCGTCCTCCTCCTCCGGTCCAAGAACGGCCCAAGAACGGCCCAAAAGCGCATCCTTCCTCCTCCTCCTCCTCGTCCTCCTCCTCTTCCTCATCCTCCTCCTCTTACTCCTCCTCCTCCTCCCGCTCCTCCTCCTCCTCCTCCTCCTCCTCCTCCTCCTCCTCCTCCTCCTCATCATCATCCTCATTTTACATTTGACCAACCTGAACAAAATGCTGTGGCGCTTGGGATGTCCGGATAAAAAAGAACGTGCAACAACGACCTGGGTCAAGGACACCTGACGGGCGCCGCGGAAAATGTGGCAGTATGAGCTCAGGAGAAGATTATGGATGAGAATGGTCGCCCGACAGGTGTGACGACACTCGCCTCAGTAGGACCTCGACACCAACGTAAGGTAAGCATTGAAACTTAAAATGTAAGAACGGTAAGATTAGTGGTGAGTGTCGTCACGGCTCAGCATTGACAGTACGTCAGGCAATGAAATGTTTTGGCTGCTGTCCTGGTCCTGTATGACCAACACCCCCGTCCAGCGTATGTGCAATGGAATCCTTATCCTACTCCGCTTCGACAAGCTGCAAGTGTGAGGAAAAAGGGGATGTAGGAGAATAGGCCGAGGAGTGAGATGCACAAAGAGTCATAGCCTGTGTAGATGCAGGCTTGCAGGCTGCAGCTAGAGTGAAGCATTCGACCTGTAACACACAAAAAAAGCAGTGTCCCTGTCTTGCAGATGTTGGGTTGCTGCCCAGGGTTTTTGCTGGTTGACCCCAAACCAAGCTGTAACCCCCGACCACCATCGTGCGTCCCTCGTGGGCAAGTTGCCCACGGGTCCCCAACGTATAAAAAGGGCCAGGCAAGGCATCAATGCTGAAATGTGCCCGAAGTTGGTGAGGTAAGCTGTGCTGCAGAGTGTCTCTAGGTGGCAATGTATGGCGCACGCTGAAATTGAGCGACTGGGGCCTGCAGCAACGTAGTGTAGGCTGGCCTGCCATGCTGGCCTGCTGCGGTTGTAGCTGCTCGTGGAGATGGGCACGGGGGGCGTAGGAGGTGATGCCGAGGAGGGAGACTAGTAAGGCTGCCGAGGCGGTCAGGCAATAAACAACTCAAGATAATCGACTGTGTGTGGCACTTCTTGGGGTGCTGCCCAGGGTACGGGGTTTACCCCAAACCACTTCGGTCCCAGGACCCCAGGACCTTGTGCTGTTTATACTTTTCGTGTGTCGCGCGCATTATTGTCGTCCAAGATGCCTGTACAAGGGACGGGTGTCTCCGATGGTTGCAGTTCTTGCGTTGTTGCACATGGTTTTACTGATCCAAACCAAGCTGTCCTGCCCATCCCCTCCACGTCCACATCCCCCACCCCCACCCCCCGATCTGTAGGCTGGCGCAGTGTTGGCTGGCCTGTTCGTCATGCTAACAATACGCTGCGGCTCATGCTTCATTACTGTAGAAAAAGCCAGACGAGATGTGCTCGCTGAACGGTGCCAGGAGCTGAATGATGCAGCCTGTGCTGCAACAAGTGTAGCTAAAGCTGACAAGGTATGGCGCGCGATAGCACTCTAAAATGTGATTTAGGGTGGCCTGCAGCAGAAACGTGTAGGAATGCCGAGGGGTGCCATGTGCTATCCATTGGCAGAATATATGGCGTGCCCTAAAGGTGAAACGCTGGCTGCAGCAGTCTTGGGGCTGCTGCCCAGGATGTTGGTTGACCCCCAACCGTGGCAAGATAGCAGTTCTTGGGGTGATGCCCAGGGTTGTGGTGCACCCCAAACCGTGGGAGGAGGACGTGAGGAAACGTAGGAGGAACTGCAGAGAGGAGAAAGACGGCGCGGCTGCCGAGGAACGGCGGGCAGCAAAATGGCAAGGCGGAGAGGACTAATATAAGATTCGGGCTGCGGCCCAGGGCTTATTGCAAACCCCAAACCGGCGAAAGAGCAGTGAAGAAGGGACCACCAGCGTGTAACGGTAAGGGGACAAAAAATGGAACCCCTTCGTCTTCGGCCCCGCATTCGCCCCCCCCCTCCCCCCAATTTCAAAGTTGGGTTCGGCCTCTCGGAGGCCCTGGGGGTTCCACTTTTTTTGTCCTCTCACGCCTGTGCTGCCAAATGCTTGAGGCCAACTTTGAAATTGGGGGGAGGGGGGGCGTGGTGTCAAGGGTTCCACTTTTTTGTCCATCTACGGAAGGAGGACGGGGGAGTGAAGGCAGCAACAGCGAATCGAAAGTCAGAGGAGGGTGTCGTGAGCATCGGCCACGATGGGTGCGAGATCTGGTCACAGTATTGCACCAGCAAAAAAAACAATTGAAAGAAGAGATCAGTTGGTGCTGTGAAGGCGGTAATTGAAGTACTGCAGGAACTTATGACGAATGTCGTGGTACGCGGACGTCGTTTTGTGCATAGTCTGCTCCCCGGCCTTTGTCTTCGAAGCCCACCGGCTTGGGCTTTGGTGGCGCCTTGTGTTGTCGTATCGTAGGTGGTGGCTCCACGACACCCCCCCCATAGGCTATGGGGGGGCGTCGTGGAGGCTGTCGAGGAAGTGCTCGTATCGCGTCTGGTGTGATCTGGATCTCCTGCGCTATGTACGAAGATGGTGCGAACGATCACAGATGAGTACGTCCTGGCCGCCTCGTCTCGCTGCTGCGTTGTGTGCTGGTATTACTTGTGCTGATCCTCCTCCTCCTCCTCCTCCTCCTCCTCCTCCTCCTCCTCCTCCTCCTCCTCCTCCTCTGATGCCTCCTACATCATCCCCCTCTTGGGGTATGACGGCTTGCTCCGCCACATCCCTGATCGGGGCAACCCGCCGGGGCATCGTTTCTAGATGGGCTGGTAGGATTACGCAAAGCATCTAGAAAATGATTGCCCCTTGATCCAACCCCATGAGTCCCAGTGGAGATAGATCCAGGGTCCGAGCCCCCGCCGCCCCCATCAAATACAGTGAGCCGCAGCAAGATCCAGCCCAAGCACTTTGAACTGCGTGGTGGTGCTCCTCTGGACCCTACCTGCATCCTGCATGCGAAATCGTACAGTTCGGTGTGCGACCCAGCCCACATCGGGCATGTCCCTGTCGCCTGCACAAGCCCGGCTAACATCCACCGCCGCGCCGCAGGCACCGAGATGACTGCACTCTCGGTGCTGGATACTCTGCATACTCTCTGAGGTGGCCAGGCCCCCAATTGACGGATCTCCCAGGGCTTCCCGCGTGGATCCTCAGGCACCCCGCTTGACTTCTCCCAGCCTCGGAGTGCCCCAAGATGACGAGATGGGCCGCGAGAGAGCTGGACGGCGACGCTGAAGACAGGAGAAGAACCACAACGACGATGATGACGCTGACGACGCCGAGGAGGGAGGTTGAAGACAAGGAGACAAGCTTTCAGCCCTGAGCGCAGCGGCCGCAGCCGCCCTCCCCCCCTCCCCCGTCCCCCTCCCTCCTCCTCCTCCTCCTCCTCCTCCTCCTCCTCCTCCTCCTCCTCTTCCTCCTCCTCCTCCTCCTCCTCCTCGTCCTCCTCCTCCTCCTCCTCCTCCTCCTCCGTCCTCCCCCCCTTCTCATCTCTCTCCTCCCCATCATAGATACCCTCCTCATCCTCACCATCATCAGCATCATGTTCATCCTCATCTCATCCACATCCGCATTAACCCATGTGGATTCATCGGCGTATGACATGCTTCCACTTCCCCAAACACCTCCCTCGGGAGCCTGGTCCGATCGATTTGGGGGGTGGGGTCCCCAGGGGTCCAGTCAAAGGCGCCACGGGAGTACAAAGGGCCCCACAACGGGCCAAGACGGCCGCAAGAGGCCCCCCTGGACGGTCCAAGAGGGCCACGAGTCCGAAAAATCGATCCGAAACGCCCACGCTGGCCTCCAGACGGCTCAAGAGGCCCCCAAGAGGCGTCCCGCTCCCTTTTGGAGAAACTGCAATGTAGCACATTCCTCTCTCGGGCGTTCACAACATCCAAGACGGCCCAAGAGGCCTTCCAGATCGCCCCAAGACGGGCCAAGTGGCCCCCAAGAGGGCTCCAAGTCAACCCAAGAGGGCTCAAGACGGCCCAAGAAGCCCCCAAGACGGCACATGATGGCCCCAGGACAGCCCCAAGAGGGAGCCCAGGGGGGCAACCCGAACGGACATTTTGACCTTCGACCCCAAGACGCCTCCGGGTTGCCCCAAGAAGCCCCCAACAGGCCCCCAGGGAGCCCCAAGAGGGCCGCCAAAAGCCCCCAAAACGCCCCCAAGAGGCCCCCAAGAGGTATAAAAACTGCCTCCAAAACGCCCCCGAGACGCCTCCCACGAGACCCCATCAGCCATCCGAGTGGGCTGAGAGGCGAAACCCAGGCACGGTAGCGGGATGTACCGAAGGCCATTCGATCCGCCGCCCCCTGTTGATTCATCACAGGGGTGCCTGGCGTGCTTAACCCTTTCGGTTTGACTTTGGTTCTTTTCCAAAAGAACTCCCCCTAGGGCTCCGGCGCGTCCCGCCGGGGTCCCTGGACGATCTGCAAAGAGCTCAATTCCCCAAAAAATCCTCCAAGACGGTCCAAGATGGCCTCCAAGATGGCCACGTCGGCCCAAGATGGCCTCCAAGATGGTCCAAGATGGCCTCCAAGTCCGCCAAAGATGGTCCAAGATGGCCTCCAAGACGGCCCAAAAGGGTCCAAGATACCTCCAAGTTCACCCAAGAGGCCTCCCTGAGGCCTCCAAGTCGGCCCAAGAGGCCTCCAAGAGGTCATCCAGGAGGGCCGAAGAGGCCAAAATCATTGATTTTCCTTAGGTGTTTGAAGGATTTTGGCATTCGCTTCGTCTCGGCATTCCGACGGCTCCAGAAGGCCCAAGAGGCCCCCAAGATCGCCCCAAGATCGCCCACGAGGCCTCCAAGATTGCCCCATGACGGCCCAAGAGGCCCCCAAGACGGCCCCAAGAGGGCCCAAGAGGCCTCCAAGACGCCCAAGATGGCCTCCAAGACGGCCCCGAAGCGCCCCAAGAGGGCCCCAAGCCAATTCAGAGAGGCCCCCAAGACGGCTCCCGACGCCGTCAGACTTGCCAGGAACCCACCAAGATGGCCGAAGTTGGCTCGAAGCTGGCCCAAGACGGCGCAAGAGGCCAAGAGTCCTCCAGGAGGGCCCGAAGAGGCCAAATTAATCGATGTTCCTTAGGTGTTTGAAGGATTTTGACATTTGCTTCTTTTCGGCCTTCCGACGGCCCGAGACGGCCCAAGAGCTCCCGAAGATCGCCCAAAGATCGCCCAAGAGGCCTCCAAGATGGCCCCAGAACGGCCAAAGAGGCCCCAAAAAGGGCCCCAAGAGGCCCCAAAGACTGCCCAGGAGGTTAAGACGCCCAATATGGCCTCCGAGACGGCCCTGGAGCACCCCAAAAGGGCCCCAAGTCGGCCCAGAGAGGCCCCCCAAACGGCTTCCGACGGCGACAGGTGGGCCAGGAGCCCACCGAGATGGCCGAAGATGGCCCAAGACAGCCCAAGAGGTCTCCAAGAGAGCCTCCAGGAAGACCCGAACAGGCCAAAATCATTGATTTCCCATGAGTTTGTGAAGGATTGTGGCATTTGCTTCATTTCGGCCTTCCGACGGCCCGAGACGGCCCAAGTGCCCCCAAAGATCGCCCAAGAGGCTCAAGACGGCCCCAAGAGGCCCCCAAGAAGGCCCAAGAGGCCTCCAAGACGCTCAAGATAGCCCCAAAGACGGCCCAAGAACCCTCCAAGACGTCCTCCAAGAAGGCCCGAAAGGGTCGAAATGGCCTCCAGAACGGCCAAGATGACCTTCAAGATGCCCACGTGTTTCCCGAAGGCTTTTCAAACCGATTCGGGGAACACATGGTCCGATAGCTTGGCAGATCTGGCCTCAACGTTGAGCCACATAGGCGCTTCCAAAAAGGCAGGGGACGGCGGTGATTCGCCGTAGGCGTCTTCGATAATCATTATTCGGGTGTTTTGAAAGATGCCCGCCGTCTGTACACGTAGGTTCTCGCCCGTCTCCCCATGCGTGCATGGCGAACACTGAGACTGTCAGCCCAAGAGGCCCCCAAAAGGCCCCCAAGAAGCCCCCGTGTGAAGCCCCGAAAAAGCTCCAAGAAGCCCACAAAAGGCGCCCAAGAGGCCCTCAGGTGCAACACACAACAACCGCCAGTCCCCCAAGGGGTCGGCGGTGTGGCGTAAGCCCAAGAATCATCCTCTTCATGAGCATCATCACCACCACCGCCATGATCATCAGCGGCAGCAGCAGCAGCATAACCATCATCGCCATGACCGTCCTCATCATGCTTCACCATGCTATCGCAATCCTCCTCTCATCATCATCATCATCATCGTCCTCATCATCATCACCACCACCACCGTCACCACCGTCGCCCCTCCTCAGCAGCCTCTCCACTCCTCGTGGGACAGGCCGGCCGGTTGCTCCCCCAACCCCCCCCCCACCACCCAACCCGCGCGTGGCCGCAAGGGGGGGGCGCGCGGGGTCGGCACGGATGTCCGTAATGCGCATCCGCGGATTCGAAGGGCTCTCCTTCGGGTGATCGTCCCTCTCTGTTCGCCTCGTCCGTCCTCCTCGTCCTCCTCATCCTCAGCCTTCTCCTCCTCCTTCTCGCTCTCGTCGTCATCCTGGTCTTCGCCGCTCTCCTCGTCCGCAACGCTGTCCTCGTCCTCCTCATAGTCCTCGTCATCCTGGCCCTCCTCCTCCTCCGCCTCCTCCTCCGGTTGATTCTGCTCCTGCTACTTTCCCTCCTACTCTTCCTTTCCCTTCTCCTCCTCCTCCTCCTCCTCCTCCTCCTCCTCCTCCTCCTCCTCCTCCTCCTCTTGACCATCCCCCACCTTTTGCTCATCCTCCGCCTGCTGCTCCTCCTCATCATAATCCTCCTCCTCCTCCTCCTCCTCCTCCTCCTCATCATCATCATCATCATCATCATCATCATCATCATCATCATCATCATCATCATCATCATCATCATCAACAATAGCAACATCATCAGCATCGGCATCATCATCAGCATCAGCATCAGCAGCATCATCATCATCATCATCATCAGCATCATCATCATCATCATCATCATCATCATCATCATCATCATCATCATCGTCATCAGAATCATCATCATCATCATCATCATCATCATCATCATCAGGATCAGCAGCATCATCATCACCATCATCATCACCACCTCCACCATCATCGTCACTACCACCACCACAATCATCATCATCATCAGCAGCATCATCATCATCGTCATCACCATCATCATCAGCAGCATCATCAGCAGCATCATCGTCATCATGCTCATCACCATCATCACCATCATCACCAGCACCACCATCATCAGCATCATCGTCAGCAGCAGCAGCAGCCCCAGCACCGTAACCCTCATCCTCATTAGCAGCAGTAGCGGCATCATTAACATCATCATGAGAGTCATCGTCATCACCACCATCAGCATCATCATCAGCATCAGCATCAGCATCACCATAATCATCGTCATCGTCATCATCCACAGCATCATCATCATTATCAGTATCATCATCAGCAGCATCATCGTCGTCGTCAACATCATCATCATCATCATCATCATCATCATCATCAGTAGCAGCAGCATCAAACTCATCATCATCATGATCAGCATCAAACTCATCATCATCCTCACCATCGTCATCCTTACCCTCCTCATCAGAATCATCATCATCATCCCAATCATCATCGTCGGCATCAGCATCATCAGCATCATCAGCAGCAGCACCATCATCATCACCAATCATCATCATCAGTATCATCATCCTCACCATCCTCATCCTCACCCTCCTCATCAAAATCATCATCATCATCATCATCCTCATCATCATCGTCGGCATCAGCATCATCAGCATCATCATCAGCAGCAACATCATCATCACCAATCATCATCATCATGATCATCATCATCATCATCATCAACAACAGCAGCATCATCATCAGCCGTCATCGTCGTCGCCGTCGTCGTCGATGTCGTCGTCGTCTCAACCATCCCTCATCCTCCTGGTTCTCCCTCATCCTCCATGAGGTCTTCCTGCCATCAGGCACTCCGAGAGCGAGGAATACGCTGCCCGCCACCCCCACCCCCACCCTCAACCCGCCGCTCATTTCGGGCTTGCTGGCAGCGCAGTGAACGCGCCTCTTCGTTTCGGCACCCAGGTGTGCTCCGTCTCGCTTCTTGGGAGGACGGACCCCTCCTCTGGCAAACGTGGCAGAAACACCCCCCCCGCCTCCGAAACCCGACAAGAACAGACAAGGCTAAAACGAGGCCCAGCGGCCGCTACCAGTCTGCTTCGAGGGTCGTCCTCCTCCTCTACCTCCTCGTCCTCTCAACCCCTGTTCCTTGCAAATAACTCCCCCCTTCCCCCTACCCCACCCCCAAACGTGTCCGTAGGGTGTGCAGGGTTTTTCGTCTGAGACGTTCTCGCCATCTGCGACCCTGAAGCTTGAAGTATGCAACAGTTTCAAGGATGGAGGGCGAGTGGTTATCAAAATGTGACTCTCCCCTCAGCGCCACGTACATTCGTTTCAACCATTTGCAGCTGCTTCAAGGATGGTGGACGGGTACGTTTCAAAATGTGGCTCTCGCCTGAGAGACACGCAAGTTCGTCTAATGTTGCACCGGTGTCAGCATGTGGCGTTCCTTGTTCAGCATGTGGCTCTCGCCTTAGCGCCGCGCGCTTTCGTCTTAAAATGTTCATCAAACAGTGCTTGCACTTAGAGGTTCTTGCTTCGCATTCGCAGGAACTGGGCATTCGGGCCACTCTGGCCGCCATGTCGCCGCAGTCGCCGCCGCATCGCCGCCCGTCGCCGCCCGTCGCCTGGACCTGCGGGCCGCTCTGGCCGCCATGTCGCCGCCGTCGCCGCCTCGTCGCCGCCCGTCGCCGCCCATCGCTTGGGCCTGCGGGCAGCTCTGGCTGCCATGTTGGCGCCGTCGCCGCCTCGTCGCCGCCTGCCGCCTCGTCCCCGCCAGCTGTGCATTGCCTGACATTGCGTGGCCATGCGTTGCAGTGCTTTGCACTGCATTGCAATGCTTTGCACTGCGTTGTGCTGCTTGGCGTTGCGTTGCATTGCTCTTCACCGCGTTGCATTGCTTTGAGTTGCGTTGCATTGCGGTGCGCCAGCGCATTGCAATCGCACATCTGTGCAATCGCATTGCAATGCACTGCTGTGCATCAACTTGCATTGCGTTGCATTGCTATGCCGTGCTTTGCATTGCTCTGCATCGCATTGAATTGATTCACATAATTGGCCTTGCGTTGTACTGCGTTGCGTCGCGTTGCAGTGGTCTGCAGTGCGTCGCATTTGGTTGTCAGTGCGTTACAGTGAGTTGCATTGCGTTGCATTGCTTTGCGTTGCGTTGCGTTGCTTGAAAGTGCGCGACAGTGTGGCATTTAGCTTCCATGTGCTGCCTTAATGTGCATTGCTTTACATCTCAACTCTCAAGCATGTTGATTATATCACATAAATTACACTACATGGCTTGCACCACGCAGCTTGCACTACGTAGATTGCATCAACTAGTAAGCTAGAAACCAGTGTTTGGCGTCCACGCTGGCTAACACTGCAACAGTTTCAGAGATGGAGGGCGGGTCCGCTTCAAAATGTTGAAAAAATGTTGATCTCGCCTTACCGCCGCGCAGGTTTGCCCTAACAGTGTGCAGCCGCTCCACGGATGGAAAGCGATTAGTGTTTAACATGTCGCGCTCGCCTTAGCGCCGCGCGCATTCATCCTCAAAGTCTGCAACCGTTTCAAGAATGAAAGGCGGCTCCTGTTCAGGATGCGGCTCCCGCCTCAGCACCGCGCGCCTTCGTCTTAAAAGTGTGCAGCAGGTTCAAGAAGTCGCGTGGGTGAGGTCACAGAAATGTCAGGACGTAGGAGTCACACTGATTCGCGGTATTGGAGTCCCAGAAACAGGCCTTCTGGCACGATCGCGCATTGTCAGGACACTAACGTCACATTGATTCGCGGCGCCGAGTTCCAAGGCATAATGCGTTGGCGCGATTGATGGTGAGGAACCTCCCGCAATGAAAAATTCTTGTCGGAGTCTGTGAGCAGGGAACTTGGAGGGAGGTTTTACTACAACATCGTTGATGCGTCTTGGGTTTACACTGGTCCTCTTCCTCCTCCTCCTACTCATACTCCATACCTTCCTCCTCCTCCTCCTCCGCCTCCTCCTCCTCATCCTCCTCCTCCTCCTCCTCTCCTCCTCGTCCTCCTCCTCCTCCACCCCATCGCCCTTAATCGCGTCCATGCGCTCGAAGCTGAAAAACGCGTACTTCTAAGAAGAATGTGAGAGCGGCCCTGACGAAGGCCGCCACCCATCCCGATGAGATCACACTTCCCGCCATTGGGAGTGGGCAAAACTGTCCACACGATCACAGCAGAGCCTGTGTTGTCGCACCAGCCCGTTGGACCAAAGGTGGTCTAGCGATGTGGTGCTTCCCTCGTCCAAAACCATCTTCCCTAAGGGGAGGGGTAACCTCTCCCTCCCCTCCCTGGTGTTTTTTTGTTTGGGGGGGGCGGGCGCAAGGCGTTCGGGCGTCCAAGATGGCCTCGGCGAGAAGGCCATAGTCCGTGATGTTACTGAGGCTGTTGACCCTGTTGGCCCCCTGGAGGGGGGAGCACCCCCTCCTTTGCTCTATGGCCTGCAAGATGGCCACGAGAGACCCCTCAAGGTTCCCAAGGGACCCCCAAGAGGACTCCAAGAAGGCCCCGACAGGGCCCCAAGACCCCCGAAAGAGCCCCAAGAGGACCAAACTATCCCCCAAAAGAGCTCCAAGAGGACGCGAGAGGCGATTTTGAGAGCTCTGTCCTCGTCCTCCTCCTCCTCCTCCTCCTCCTCCTCCTCCTCCTCCTCCTCCTCCTTCCCTCGCCCCCCAGGGATCAGCCGAAGAGGTCCTCCAAAGCCATCCCCTAGTTCCCGAGGATCTCTCTGTTCACTCCGGTTCCCCGCCTTGCTTCACTACATGTGTCTCCTCGTCCCCATTCCGTCGACTCTCATGGGCCAGGCTTCTGAATGGGCTGGTGGGGATACTTTTTTTTGTCGCGGCCGCAAGCGGAAGCGCAGGCGGCATCCGAAGAGGTCGGGCGGGCTACGTGCGAGCCTCATTATACAGCGACAAGCAAGCAAAGGCGCGATACCGAGCGCGCGATCAGAACCTACCGCCGGGTGGGCAGCTGGCTGAAGCTGAGCTGGGGCACCAGGGGCGGGGACTGCAAGCTGCTAGGGCTGCAAGCTGCACACGTGCGAGACCCAGATGGAGCACCAGGGTGAATTGAACCTGCACGCCAGAAAGCGTCGCTGGTGGGGATACGTTTTTCGGTCGCGGCCGCGAGCGAAGAGGCAGGCGGCGAGCAGGGTGTCCGGGCCAACGCGCAAGCCTAATTAGCTACACTGGTGGGGATACGCGAAGAGTGAAGAATTGCCGGGGTGCCCAGGAGCACAGCAAACTGTGAGCGCCTCAACTCCTGCGAGCGTCCCAGCAGCGTATGGCCGTTGCCATGGCGGCGAGTGTTCGGAGCACTGCGAATCACATGCTTGCTGTGAGCACGGCGCTGCCCACGAGCCGCATGCGTCTGAACGCCATCCTCGCTGTGAGAGCACCACCGCACCACCAGCCCACAGCCTTGCCTGTCCTCCAACCCTTCCGGAGCCACGATGACGCCACGGCAACTGCTACGATCATGACGCCTCGGCCTCCTCCTCCTCCTCCTACTTCCCTCCTCCTCCTCCTCCTCCTCCTCCTCCTCCTCCTCCTCCCCCTCCTCCTCCTCCTCCTCCTCCTCCTCCTCCTCCTCCTCCTCCTCCCCCTCCTCCTCCTCCTACATCCCTCGCAGCCAGAAGTGCGACCGCCACGATGGCACTCGTACCCAAAACGTGCGGCCACGGAGCAGGAAGCAAACAGATGCAGAGTCTCCCTGCACGAGTTTCGGGCGCGACGAGGAAGGGTGGCCAGGAAAAGCATCATGGCCCGAGGCATGTTATAATAAAAATCACGGGAGCTTTTTCTTGTGGATGCCATGACAATGGACACCCTGACAATCCCATCAGTGAACTAAACATGTGTTCTAATTGTTCGAAAAATGCTTAAACATTGCAAACACATGTTTTGCATGTTTGAGGCATGACTAACACTTGTTTAAGACATCGGAAAAATCATTTGGCAACATGCTTCCTCTCCTATGTGATCGTCGTCCACCAGCTTTTTCTCAAGTCAAAGGTGCCCAAAAGAGACCCTAAGTGCCACCCAAGTGCCCGCAGACGCTCGCCATCGCTCGCAAAGCTCCTCCATTGCGCCCCCATTACAGCATCAAAAAACAGCAGGTACCATAACAACGGCAAGCAACAAATATTGCTGTTGCCGCTGCTACGTAGATTAGCATTACCATTGCAGTTGCTTTTGCTCGCACCCTACCGTATTCATCATTTTCCTCCCCTCCTCATCACCCTTCTCCTCCTCATCGCCCTCCTACCCCGTCCCCCTCCTCCCTTCTCCCGCTCCACCATCCCCCGCCCCCCTCCTCTTCCTTATCATTCCCCCACTCTTCTTCCCCACCCTCCTCAACCCCCTCCTCATCCCTCCTCGCCCGAGTCCTCCAAGTCCGACTCCGCATCCTCCTCCCGTTTCTCCTCCTCCTCCTCCTTCTCCTCCTCCTTCTCCTCCTCCTCCTCCCCTCCTCCTCTTCCTCCTCCTCTTGGTTTTCCTCGTTCCTCCTCCTTCCTCCTCCTCCTCCTCCTCCTCCTCCTCCTCCTCCTCGTCCTACTTTATTAGTTTGCCACTTTTGAAACACGTTGCGAGGGCTTGCGAACGTTTCGCCGGAAGCCCGTCGGGCACTTTGAAACACACTTCCTGGAAGCATACCCAAAGCATTTTGCAGGCTCTCTGGAAGCGCTCTGCGAACGATCGCAAGCACGTCGGAAGCACTTCGGGGCACTGCCGAAGCAAATTGCGAAAGTCTGCGACTGTTTGCAAGCTCGTTGGAAGCGCTTCCGAAATGTCTCGGGCACTTTGGGAAGCACTTTGCAAACGTTTGCGGGCGTTTGCACGCACCCTCACCAAAAGCATTCTGGAGGCGCTTTGCAGACGTTTGCAATCACATTGAAATTACTGCTGGGCACTTTTGCGACACTTGCTGAAACTTGCACGCACGCCGGAGACACTCGTGGTCAAGTTTTCTCACTTGTGCGCCCTTGTCCAAAACATGTGTTCAAGAGTGCCCAAGTGCCTCAAAAGTGCATCCGACGTGCTTGCAATCCTTCGCAAACGTTCGCAAACGTTCGCAAACGTGTCTCGGAAGCTCCCAAAAAGTGTTCCCAAAATTGCCAAAGTTCTCGAAACTGCGCAAGAGTGCCCAAAAATGCCTCCGACGTGCTCACAAACGTTCGCAGAGTGCTGCAAAGATGCCCAAAAGTGTCTCCAAAGTGATTGCAATGTTTCAAAAATGCCTAAAAGTGCGCAAGACTGCCTCCAAGGTACCCGCCAGAGCTCGCAAAGCGCTCCCACAGCCCCTCCAGAATGCTCTGGGCCGCTCTTCCAACAAGCGCCCCCCGGAAGTGACTGAAAGTGCCCCAGCGTGCCTCCGAGCAACTTGCAGAAGTTCGCAAGCGTCCGCGAAGTGCTTCAAAATTGGTGAAAGGTGCTGGGGAGCGCTTGCAAAGTGCTTGTAAACGTTCGGTGCGTAACAGAGTCACCCAAATTGCCCCTGACGTGCTTGCAAACGTTCGCCAACGCTCGCAAAGAGCCTCCCAAAAGCCTACGCATACGCATTGAAACGTTGCTGCCATGTCCTGCCGTGTCCTCCGCCATTTGCTGCAATGTTTCTGCCGTTTGCCTCCGCCTGGGACGAACGACCACTGGAAAAAAAACTCCAATGAGTTGCTATCCAAGGTATGTGCACGGACGAGCGGGGGGCAGGGGACCATGACATCGGGGGGAACGCATGACCCCAGCCGTGACGTCCACCACCTAAGTACTCACCCTCCTCCTGGACGCCCCCGGAAGGTTCAGTGCGCTTGACCAAAGCGGGAGAGAGCCACGTCTGTCCAAGTGGATCATCTTCGTGTTGGGCGTGATGGCATTGCTCACGGAGGAGATGTCCGTCGTGTCTACGAATCGGACCTCGGCCACCAAAAGCCCCGCAATGAAAAAACAATGCCAGTTTGCCTCCTTCGGCGTCTACTATGCCAGGCTCCGGCCAACGTGCCAATGCCGTTCCTGTTGGCGGTGACCTAATCATCCTCTGAATTCCCCCGGCTGTAGCTTCACTGAGCTGCTCATGAAACCGACGATCCAATCCCTCATTCGACAACAAGAATGAACCGATCGCCAACTCCAGGTCAGAGAGGATGTGTCCGACTCCTTTTCGCAAGGGCGTCGAGCAGGATTCCGCGAAGAGGGAGGGAGGGAGGAGGGGAGGGAGGAAGGGGATGGGATGGGATGGGATGGGATAGGATGGGATGGGAGGGACGGAGGGATGGGATGGGATGGGATGGCATGGGAGAACGGGACGGAAGGAGGAATGCGATGGGATGGGACGGGATGAGATGGGATGGCATGGGAGGGAGGGAAGGGAGGGAGGGGCCCCCAGCCGCGGCCGCGGGGAAGGGGGCGTCGCGCGGCCCGGGCATAGCTAGGCTGCCCGGCCGCTATTCTTAGAGCCCGTGCCGAGCGGCCCGGCCGGGCGGGCGCCCCAGACGGGGCTCCCACAGGGCGGAAAAGGAAAGGAAAGGGG